CACTATAGCTATATTCCGATTTGAATCAACTTAAAGAGCCATTGATACACGACATTTTGATCTATCTTACAAATATCCCGTTTGGTAAATGATGCTCATAACTAAAACCTTGTATTTACTAGCAATTGTAAACTGATATTGATGATCAAAATATATAATGTTTTTGTCGCACCTGGTAAAATTTAACAAACAAATTTGTTCCCCCTAAAAGCTAAACTAGCCAAGATGATGGATATTTACTAGTTGACATGTCACGATATTCTCTCATAATTTTGAAAGGTGGCTCCAAAAACTTGATTTGAATAATATTGTTTTACAAATTGATTATAAATTTCTTTCATTTATCTGCTTATTTATTTATTTGTTTGTTCATTCATATATTTTTTAATATTACTGTTGGCTGTTAAATTTAGAGTGCCTTTTTGTGATATTTAGTGTCAACATACTTTCTAATGATTTATATGTTTGCTTTATCCCGTAGGATTTGAAGGACATCAGAGAACCACTATAAACCTAGTTTGTTTTTCCTCTCGTAGAATGTGTGCTTGCCTCCTAATTCTTAATTCAGATATATCTGTGTGTTCGGTTTGCGTACTTATATACAAGTAAAACTTTGTCAGGTTTTTTCTGTTGTTTTTGTTTTTGATCAGTCTATTTTTGCCCCTACGTAACGTTTGCCTTTGGACTGTCAGTAGACTCACGAGATCTGATTATCCCTCATTAAGTTATCTGGAGGCTGTCTGTTGAATTAAGGTTTATGTTTTGCTCCTCAGTAGCCTTTGTCTTTGGTCTGTCTTTTGACTCACGGTTTATTTGTCCATCAGTAACTTTTGCCTTTGGTATGTCTGTTAACCCACGGTTTCTGATTTGCCAGTCAGTAACATTTGTCTTTGGACTGTGTGTTGACTCTCGGTTTTTGATTTGTCCTTTAGAAACTTGTGCCTTTGGTGTGTCATTTGACTCACGGTTTCTAATTTGTACTCTTGACTCACTGTTCCTGATTTGTATCTCAGTAACTTTCGTCTTTGATCTGTTTTTTGACTCATAGTTTCTGATTTGTTCCTCAGTTACTTTTGCTTTTGGTCTGTCTGTTGACTCAAGACTTCTATGCTGTTCCTCAGTTACTATTGCTTTTGGTCTGTCTGTTGACTCAAGACTTCTATGTTGTTCCTCAGTTACTATTGCTTTTGGTCTGTCTGTTGACTCAAGACTTCTATGTTGTTCCTCAGTTACTTTTGGTCTGTTGACTCAAGACTTCTATGTTGTTCCTCAGTTACTTTTGCTTTTGGTCTGTCTGTTGACTCAAGACTTCTATGTTGTTCCTCAGTTACTATTGCTTTTGGTCTGTCTGTTGACTCAATACTTCTATGTTGTTCCTCTTTAACTTTTGCTTTTATGCTGTCTGTTGACTCATGGTTCCTAATTTGCCCGTCAGTTACATTTGTTTTTTGGTCTCTCTGTTGAACTTCGGTTTCTAATTTGCCCGTCAGTTACATTTGTTTTTGGTCTCTCTGTTGAACTTCGGTTCCTAATTTGTCCGTCAGTTACATTTGTTTTTGGACTATCTGTTGACTCACGGTTCCTAATTTGCCCGTCAGTTACATTTGTCTTAGGACTATCTGTTGACTCATGGTTCCTAATTTGTCCGTCAGTTACATTCGTCTTTGGACTATCTGTTGACTTATGGTTCCTAATTTGCCCGTCAGTTACATTTGTTTTTGGTCTCTCTGTTGAACTTCGGTTTCTAATTTGCCCGTCAGTTACATTTGTTTTTGGTCTCTCTGTTGAACTTCGGTTCCTAATTTGCCCGTCAGTTACATTTGTTTTTGGTCTCTCTGTTGAACTTCGGTTTCTAATTTGCCCTTCAGTAACATTCGTCTTTGGTCTATCTGTTGAACTTCGGTTTCTAATTTGCCCGTCAGTTACATTTGTGTTTGGACTATCTGTTGAACTTCGGTTCCTAATTTGCCCGTCAGTTACATTTGTTTTTGGTCTCTCTGTTGAACTTCGGTTTCTAATTTGCCCTTCAGTAACATTCGTCTTTGGTCTATCTGTTGAACTTCGGTTTCTAATTTGCCCGTCAGTTACATTTGTCTTTGGACTATCTGTTGAACTTCGGTTTCTAATTTGCCCGTCAGTTACTTTTGTTTTTGGTCTCTCTGTTGAACTTCGGTTTCTAATTTGCCCTTCAGTAACATTCGTCTTTGGTCTATCTGTTGAACTTCGGTTTTTAATTTGCCCGTCAGTTACATTTGTCTTTGGACTATCTGTTGACTTATGGTTCCTAATTTGCCCGTCAGTTACATTTGTCTTTGGACTATCTGTTGAACTTCGGTTTCTAATTTGCCCGTCAGTTACATTTGTCTTTGGACTATCTGTTGAACTTCGGTTCCTAATTTGCCCGTCAGTTACATTTGTCTTTGGACTATCTGTTGAACTTCGGTTCCTAATTTGCCCGTCAGTAACATTTGTCTTTTTACTATCTGTTGATGCTAGGTTTCTGATTTTTCCCTCAGTAACTTGTGTCTTTGGTGTGTCCTTAGGCTCACGGTTTCTAATTTGTTCCTAGGTATCTTTTGCCTTTGGACAGTCTGTTGACTCACTGTTTCTGATTTGTCCCTCAGTAACTTTTGTTTTTGGACAATCTGTTAACTCACGGTTCCTGATTTGTCCCTCAGTGAAATTCGTCTTATTTTACAGAAATCGTTGGGTTGATGTTGTAGTTTATTTCACACATCTCATTTTATCCATACAGAAATTCTGAGTAAACATTATTTTTATGTTAATGCTGAATACATTTGCAATGTTTGCTAAATTCAGCAAGTCTTTTGAAAGTGTGTCCCTTATTTAACATCCACATTAAGCATGCACTTTTAAAAGTATGTCCTTTGTTTCATATCCAACCCTTCACTGTACCGATCTACTGAGTGGATTATTATCAATAAAAAGTTGTAAAAAATACAAACAAGAATTCAATAATTATTCCTGTTATGCTCTGATGTGCCTCTTACATTTGTATTTTATCTTATCTATATTTGTTAACAAATGTTTTCCAAAAAGTAAAAAAAAATAATGTATTAAAACTCTTCTGACAAGGAACAAAGTATAATATGCTTTATCTTTAACCAACATGTTTTCAAGTTCAAATCTATCAGCACTTATTCCAAAATCGTTTTCAATACTACAAAGTGACGTGTAGAATTTAAATGATAAATTAAATGTTTTCACATATTTCCTGAATGAAAGGTTTAATGATGCAAATAATTCGGAACATCGATTGAAGAGTTCATTAGGTTCAATATTTGTGTAATAGTTACTCTACGATCTCTTACAAACCTTATCATACCCTTTTTTTGAAAATAATTCATATCTGTGGTTTTTTTTGTCAAATGGTGCTTCGTGGAATATGAGTAAATGCTGAACCTACACAGAACCGGAACTTCTCAGTTCCTTGGGTTTACACGAAAAATACACGTACTAAAAGTTTGTTGACACTTTATTTTGTATAATTTGTAAATCATTACGAGTACTTATATATGATTCTGATAACAGCAAATTTGAAATACGAATATACAACACGTAGATTTGGGGGTTATATAACAAGAAGACAAAAACCTAACGATGAAAATAATAAAGACATGTAGTGGCCAACACAGTTCTGCCCAAACATATCTCTTGTTGATTATAGAGATTTTTGTGGTTTTGTATTTATCGATGGGTTGCTGTCTCATTGACATATACCACAAACATGTATTCATATTAATATCAGATTTTTTTATTCATTGTTTTAGTTCCCTTTAAATCTTCAGACAAATTTTTTTTTTGACCTGTACACACGTTTTGTCTTACCAAGGTGATATGCTCACGTGTGGTTTAATGTTAACTCCTAACCTATATACAGCTTATATAATAGTTAATTTGAAAATGCATGATTCAGTTTTTGAGACGTGGGAATTGTGTCAGTGAGTCAGTCGATTGTCTTTAATAATCTATTGTTATTAAATTCTTAAGTCGCATTTATAAATTCGAAAATTCTACAGAAAACAAATTAGATGTTGTATAATTGACAATGAGACAACTAGCCATAAAAACCAGAACTGTTCTTATTTCTAAGAAAATAAATTGGATTCTGATACCGATCATAAAGGTGATAAGGGTTACCTGATCCTCTCCTGTCCAGCTGATGGATGGGGAGTGCTTTTACTGTGTGGGATATATAAATACGCAGCCACGTCCAGTTGGAAATGTAACATAAAATGCGATACCACATTTAGAGATTGTACAACGAATGCTCTATGTACGTAAAGAACTTTGGCAAAAACTCTTTGTCTGGTTTGAACTTGACCTGATAGAAGCTAAAATGTCTGCCCCCTATCATATGATCTATACGTTTCTTCTTTTAACGTTAACTCAGTGTGTTAGCTAAATTAGTGAACTTATCGGAAGAATACAATCACTGGAATGTCCACGGTCTTTCAGTGGCATTTCCTAACCTAAATCAGTCAACTTACTTTACCAACATGTACCCATTAGATTTACTGTTAATTTGTTCTCATCTTAAACATACATGACAAATCTGCCACTGAACGTTAAGGCTAAAAGAACATCAATCAATCCGATTAGTTCAAATTAAACCAATTTATATAAATGAATAAAATATATCATCTTCATCAAAATCTTTATCCCGAATCAACGTTGAAGAATGCAAGAACATTTGATTGATACATTGCATGAAGTTAAGAATCGGTCAGTGAATTTAAATGTTCTGTAGTTAGTGGTCAGCGGATGTAAGGTCATTATTATCATGTAACTGCTAATTCTTCTTATCGGATTTCTGGTTATATTAACAAATCATTGGGTGCAAAAGTAACATAAACAAAACATACTGACTTCCAATTAATGTAAGGTATCAATAGAGCAGGGTTACTTCACTCCTTTTAATACTAATATGAACTTTACGGTGATTGATTCCAATGCTTCTCTTGTAGGACAATTACCCGCGCTCTTTTCATCTGTAGACCGCCCATTGAACTTACCTGTCAACCATGACGTAATTTGTTTATATATTTATACATGGTTTTTCACACAAACTTTACTTTAGGAGTAAGAAGCAACTAATATTTCCTCATTTATGTCATATCGATTAAATTATGAATCTACTTTTATAATTTTACAGTATATACAGCTGAACACACAAGGAACTAAATTAGTCAGTTAATATGGATATAGTTTACAGACTGATTTGTAGTTTAACATTAGTGTTACAATTTATTAAATATGAAACCTTGGGAAACTTAGTTATAAATGCAGATGAAACGGTAAGAATTATATAATTTTTTTGTCAAATATTATTATATATCACGATTGATTTGACAGTGGGTGTCTGACGTCATTATTCTTTAGAATAGCAAATAGTTATATTGCTGTCGCTGAATAGAGCAACATTCAATTTTCATGATATTTATTGAAATGTCCCACGGTATGTTACTTTTTTCTGTTAAATGACTGACAGCTGACAGTCCAATAATGAAGTTTTTTTTTTTATTTTGGTTGATTTTTTTAATTGAATTTACTTTCATAATCCTAATTACTTCTCCTGAAGTTTAACCACGGTAGATGCAAAAGCAATTTTAATTCTACTCTGATAAATCTATTAGTTGTCTTTAATTTCACATTTCAGACAAAGCATGCCCATCGAATCAATTATATTCAGAAGTCAGGAAGTTATGGTATCACTAGGGATAGATATGAGTAACCTGTGTTAATTCAGGACAGTTATCTAACTTGATAGCAGAGCGATCTTTTTAACTTTTTACCCAAGATACAAATTAACTTTAAATTGCCGACATCAAGTTTAAACTATATACTATACTATTGTCCCATAGTGTATTTCAGTTCTTCAATTGTAGCGGAAAATTTTGAAAGGAGATCCTGATAATAATCTATGTTCTTATGAACTAACCCGCCGATATTGTGATTGTATTGAAACGTGAAGTGGTGTAGTGTTACACATTACATTTTTAAGACCACAAAACTTGAATATGTTTTCTAGAGTTTTTATGAAATTATCTCCAATTTATCCATTCAAAGTATATAGTATAACACCCGTGTAATAGGAAACACCGTATATTAAATAACAATCAATAAAAATAAAATGAACTATTGGGTTATAGTACACAAGACAGCAACCCGACAACACAAGTTTGCCCAAACAGTACATTTTGTGGCGAAGGAATGCATCTTACTATTGGTAGTGGCTTTAAAATACGTAAAATTAAATATGGACGAGTTGTTCTATAAGATAAAAAAATCTTAGTTATGTAAAATGGTCGGTGGATAAAACTGTCATGCAATAGGACATGTGATCTTCTTTGGCAGTTCATAGGAGTCTTTCATATTCAGATTATTTTACCTATATCAAAGATATTCACAAGTACAAATTTTTTTGTTTGCAAACTATCATATATTTTTCCTTAATGATTTTAAAAACATTTGGTATGATATTGGAAGCGATTTAGATGCCGACTATCATTGAAGATTTTGTTGCTTTATTGTGTTTGGTTGCTGTATCATTGGTTCATTGCACATACCGCCCTATATTTATTTGTTACGTATTAGTGTTTAGATGTCAGTATTGAAATTTAATCGTAGTGACCTCTACAAAACAGTCAAATATTCTTCTTACTTTGTATAATCATGTTTTAAATATGAATAAAGGTTAGCCCGACGTTCATGAGACACCAATTTACCAAAATTAGGATGGTGTACATTATGTGTATGATTGCTCTTTGTTAACTTCCAACTTTATGGTATTATATATGAACTTTGTAGAATTATTTAGTGAAATATGGTTATATACCTCCGGAATCATCTGGTAGTGCTGCCTACAGAACCGAGGAGTTTTATAAAGACGCTGTCAGAAACTTTCAGAAAATGGCTAATCTACCTGTTACAGGTAAGTTTTAAAACAGAATCCACTATTTAATTGGTCGGAAGAAATATCTTTAAAGAGGTATGACTAATTTTCCCTGTAGCTGATTCCATTAGAGGTGTGATAAAGCCTAGTAGGTTAAAAGAACAAGATACTGTTATTAAACCTTAAAACTGTGACCTAACTCTCGTGTTATATTAATTCAAAGGCAGTCAGTCCTCTTTGATTATTACTTCATCTAGTACGTACATAGCCATGCAAATTATTATTATAAAAGGTCTAAAGAATTTAAATCAAATATTGAATAAGTTCCTATGTGAATAATATTAGATAATATTCTGATGCATTACATGATGTGTTTCTGATTTTTTTCTTATTTTCTATACTATGCTTCATAAGTATTTACCCAATATCCTGGTTTTTGTTTCTCAAATATCAATGTTAACTATCTATAGCTCGATCTATAGTCGGTATTATGATTCCAGTTGCTCTACAATTTTCCCTGGTAGAACAAAATAGAAACAAACATAAAACGTTGATAGAATATAGAAACTGATGTCAAACTGAGAGTATAAGAATAATAATCACATGCAGTCGGTTCATTCATAAAGCAATCAATTTATCAAAGCTTATTTCCGGAAGTGCTTTTGGCTCATCATAACAAATTAATGTTTACAGGTACAAAGTGATTTATGTGTGGTGCATGTTTCATGGGTACTTTGTGGTTTGATATCTAAGTTTAAGTTACTTTATGGCCCAATGACCTGATGAATGATCTATAAACAATGAAAAGTACTCTCCTTATCAGATCATAACTTTAATTATGGGGCGAAAACCACATGTACACTCTATCACAGTGCATTAGATCATTAGCTATAAGAATAACTTAGGTGTTTTCCAAAATATCACATGCATCTTAATCATGATACGTTTTATCTGTTTCCATGGTAGTTTTCTCTTTCTAGAGTTTATTGTGTGTTGCAACCAAATGCTGTGATCGGACATTTTTTTTAGCTAGCTTGCCATTGGCATCTCCACAAACTTCTTTGTGTTTCTTCCTGGCTCTTTGTCATGTTTAATGTTGAAATGTATTATATTATTTATTTGAAGGCAGATCTTTGAAAGCTTCTGTTTAATTTCTTAACGTTTTTTTTAAACTATTTAGACCCTGGCATGTTTTGCAGACACCTGTCTACTAAGACTGTATGTTGCCCTAAATATGTGTCGTTGGTCTGTCTTATTGATGTATTGTTCATAATACGTAATATATTTGAACCCCGTTATAAAACAACGGAAGTAGACTTGGGGTCTTTTATAGCTTGCTCTTCGGTGTGAGCCAAGGCTCCGTGTTGAAGGCCGTACTTTGACCTATAATTGTTTACTTTTTATACATTGTGACTTTGAAAGAGAGTTGTCTCATTGGCACTCATACCACATCTTCTGATTTATATTCGAAAAACAAGTGGTCATGCTACCACTGTATAAAACCTATTCATTCCTTGTTTACTTCATGTTTTGTCTACATTGACGCCATTCGTGTTAAGAAATTTTGTTTCTTAGTGCAGAATATTACATCTAATTAAGACATACAATAAACTCTTATTACAAACGTCTGTGTGGCATCACTATTTGCAGCTAGACTGGTACCCATAACATAATTAGTATTCATAAAATAAATCTGCTTAATTATGTTCAGCGTACATTAATAACTTTTGATATAATTATTGTTATATAATACTCGAATATTGTAATTGATATTCCGATACTAACAGCAAATCGCACTACAAATCTTTGGAAGTCTGATCAAACCCAGTGCATTTATGTACACTATTGGTTCCCTGTTTAGGATCTAAACATCCTCAGACTCGTTTTAAACTTTGACGCACTAGGTTTCGAGAAGAGTCACAACGAAAAGGAAATCTTATCTTCAAAAATTACTAGTATTATCGGAACATATTCTTGAACAATATCATGGAAGCATTAAAATTCAAGGCATAAATGTACTCAGATTATGTCTGTCTTCGTTAGTAAAGCGATGTATTCAATCATGACATTTTGAAGAAATGCAAAATAGAAAAACTATTTATTTCTGAGCATTATTTTAGTTTTCTGACAACTGACAAGTCAACACAATTTCCTTCTTTGATAAATTTTATTTTTAGAATTTTCAAGTACAACACCAAATGTATTCTCAAATTGATTATTGGACCGGTATCTTTTCAGATGTAAAAATATCAGATTTAGCGTTGAATGCAGGTGGTAGATGTATTAGAATTATTCTATCAATTCGTTAATGTCAGATTATAAATAGTTTTCATTCTTTCACGCAACCCAAGGGACATGGATATGCGTTTAAACGATAAAAATATCTGTGCTAATATAAAAAACATTTTTTCTCCATATTTAATTGTTTCAATGAATACAACAAAGGATGCCCTGAATTTTACGAAGAAATTGTCTGTTTTCATAATTGAGTACGTTAGATGTTATTGATTTTACATCATTTTAAATTTCCCCCCATTGTATCTATAATGAGAAACAATTGTTTGATGCGTGTTTACAAGAAATGTCTTACATAAGAGCATCATAAATTCATGATAAATCTCTAATTCCCATTCCCAACACCTATCACTGACCCGTTTATTCACAAATGTGATATCTTTGTAACCAGAAGCTGTTCAGATACTAGCTATAACAATACTGTATCATAACTAACTGTATTTATCTTACTAGTCTTAACATTTAACTCCGTGATTTGAATTTACGTAAAATAAGTAAGAGCATTGAACTATTAGAAATCGCAAGGCAGTAGCGAAGGTGAGAACTAAAAGGTGCGCGGGGGCGGGGAGGGGACAAATAGTGACCAGAGGCGGATTTAGAGTGTTTTTTCAGGGGGCCCCCCTTATGAAAATTTCTGGATCCGCCACTGGTGACAAGCAAAAAAAAAAACCCCAGCTTTTTATAGTATAGGAGTTAGTCAATGTCCTCTTTCGTTTTCGTTTTTTATTTACAGGATTTTGTTTTGTTTTGCCCACCTCTCCGGCTCCTACGCCATGCAGTGCAAGGTAAATGGATCCCATACATTTATCTTAACAAGCAAGTTCCGAAATGTAACCCTTGTCTAGAAAGCACATTCGATTTAAAGGTTGCTGGGTAATGATAACTTCCCAGAAAGCAACACCGAAATAAATGATAGCTTGTCTCTGTATCTGATGAAAAACATGTGGCTTCTGACAAGAAAAATGAATATGAAATATTTCAACATTCATTTTGTAACAAAGGAAGCCATCCGGTAGTTAAATTAATAGTAGTCGGTATCACACGTGTCTCTCACCTGTCATTCATTAACTAACATGCAGATAAATGTATGTTTCATTCCAGGTGTTCTTGACACATCTACAAAGGAGATGATGAAGCGCCCAAGGTGTGGCGTGAAGGACGATATGCAAGGAACTTCTGATAATGCCAAGAGAAAGAAACGATACGCTTTACATGGTAACTACAATACATACCAATTATACAATATATTAACACAGTAAACCAATCGTATTACTATATCTCACCCTGATTGTTGTGCTTGCAATACTTTTTTTCTGATTAAGACAAGATATAAGACAATTGCAGTGTTTTAATTATTTTGAGTTTCAAAAGAAACGCAAACTCTACATGTATTTTCTCTTTAATAAAAATTCAAACCAACAGTTCTTCTTCGTAAATCGACCAATCGTTCTAAGTATTGACGACTTCTTAAGATATGCCTACAGAACATCTCCCGTAATTATGCAATGACAGGACATCATTTACAAATGTATCTATAGTTGAACATAAAGTCTTGAGAAGCTACTGTTTGGAGTCGCCTCATACGAATAAAGGAACACGTCGACGAAAAGGGGAGCACACTTGGTTCCCATATGAATATTTGTTGTCATATAAGATAAAAATATCTTGATGATGGCAGTTTCAAAGATATTTTTTTGTTGTTAGAATTATACTGTTTTAATGAGAAATTAACCATTCCGGTAAACGTTGGTCCACAATTTATTTCTGAGAAGATGTTATGGTTTACATTGACGAGAAAAAATATTCAAAAGGTCGAAGCTATATCAATTATTATCAATTTTAGACAACTGATACCATGATAGATGTGTAATAATTGCTTTCTCTATAGAAATAAATTATAGGCAAACATGTATCATGCATCATCTGTGAAACATTGACAATCACTGGCTCGCAAAAATACATAAGTTTTGTTGACAAAATTGATGACAAATATTACAGATGGTTTGTGGTACCCGGTATGTATAATCATGTATGTTTGCCTAACATATTGTATTGCAGATACATGAATATCTGTTGTTGTTGACAGAAAAGTAATATATGCATTCCACCTCGAGTGGTAATTGATTAATTGATACATAATTAAAAGGAAGCAATCAGATTTTTAAAAATTAATACGTTTCATTTACAGGAAGTAAATGGTCAAAGCACTATTTAACATATAAAATTTCCAAATATGGTAAAAGGTTAAAGAAAGAGGATGTCGACAGGGAAATTCACAGAGCATTTACAGTGAGTAAAAGGCATCTAAGGGATGTGAAATTAAAATCATAAGGCGAAAGTAAAAGAAATAGAAATTTGATATAGAAATTCCTAAAGATAGATTAAAGAGGACTATAGTAAGTTAAAGGCATCTAAGGGGGGTAATCAAGATTATAGGACAAAAGTTAAAGAAAGAGAAACTTTTACGGTATCAGTGAAAGGAACGTAGTAAACGAAAGATTAAGTTGGTATTTAGAAAAGTGCTTATTTAACTCAAACAGAGGTTCCATTAACCACCAGGAAAACTTAAGGTTGCTGACAATCAATATTTGATTGTCCAATCAAATGCCACATGTACACAATGTAGTGAAATCATTGTAAAGTAACAGCAAAAATTTTAAAAAAATGTGTTTAGAGTGTATACTGCAGTTTATTTTAGGCTTCATAATAGTATCGTTAACGTTGCAATTGGTTTGAAAAGTGAATGGCGTCGGGAAACATGAGTTTGAGAACTTTCTCATATTGAAAAAACTCTCAGCAATAGTATTTAAACAACAAGAGCAACTGGATGAGTATAAGTGAAAGAAATATCATATGATTTAAAGAGATTTAAAGATTACTTTTTATTTCCAACAGGTTTGGAGCGAAGTTTCACCTTTAACCTTTACTAGGAAACAAACCGGAGCAGTAGATATTGATATACGATTTGAAAAATACTGGCATGGCGACAACAACCCATTTGATGGTCAAGGTCAAACATTAGCTCATGCTTTCTTCCCACAGTTCGGAGGAGATGCCCATTTTGATGATGACGAACCATGGACTATTAACCTTCCAGACGGTAAAGTGTTCGAAATAAATTTCTTGATATATTCATTAGTTCTAACTTATCTCATTAAAGATTTTGCAGTGTATTACCTATTATCACTCATGGAACTATTGTAATATATATGTTTCATTTTTTAGAGAATTAGTAATGTTTCCGTTTAAAACAAAATCCACAAAATGTTTTGCTTTTGTCCTCTTTTCTTTATATTTTTAACATCCCATTATTCTCTATTCTTCTTGTCTTTCTTTTTTCTTTTTCTGTTTTTAGGGAGAGGGGGCAATTTTCCCTACTCTTTATCTTTTAACCTTTATTATTTTATATTGTGTAAACCCCATCCAGGCCTTATTTATCTTATCACACTAATGCAATAACAACAAACGTAAAGTTGGTTGGCCTATTATGTAAATGCGATATCAAAATTGCAAGATTACCATTTCTCTCATGTATCGCTCTGAATCCTTGTCCGGGTTTGGCTATACTTTACTTCTTTTTTTTGTTGTTTTATCCGCTCCTTAACGTTTGTTCTAGATTTTTGATTTACAAATTCAGAGTTGCAACGGTTTGCTTACTTCCGGTACTCGATTGATCATGCTGATAACGAAAAGTGCATGTGCATGCGCTTTTATATAACTTTAAACACGAATAATGATTTTCTGTTAGCCAATATTTTCTCAACTTAAGTCTTGTATTAGTTGGTGTCTCAGCGAACAGTCATAAAAACAGCTAACAGTCATAAAAAGGAGGCCAAGCAAAGAGACCGTTTGCCATAAAAGAAATATGTTTAACTTGAGCCCATTCTTTTTGATACCAACATGAGGCATTTAATTCCAATACAACAATAAACGAGCCTTTGGTCGTTTCTTACTCGTTAATAAACCTATACGTAAATGTAATTTTATATTGTAGGTGTGGATTTTTTTCAAGTTGCTACACACGAATTCGGACATTCCCTAGGACTGGCACATTCCAACATTTACAGTGCGTTAATGGCTCCATTTTATAAAGGCCACACAAAAGATTTCAAACTTGGAAGGGATGATGTAGCTGCCATACAAGCATTATATGGTAAGGAAAATGTATAAATCCAATTTGTTTCTGAATGGTATTGATTGTCTCTAATCGGGGGGAAAGAGGCGGAATATACCAAGTTGACATTCAAAACTCATCAGTTGAAGAAAAACTAACAATGCCATGCCAAAAAAGGAAGACGAAAAAAAGACAAACAAGTCCATAAAACACTACATAAAACAAGACCGAGCAACACGAACCTCACCTATAACTGAGTGATGAACTGAGCAACACGAACCTCAGCTATAACTGGGGGATAAACCGAGCAACACGAACCTCACCTATAACTGGGCAAGACTGAGCAACACGAACCTCACCTATAACTGGGCAAGACTGAACAACACGAACCTCACCTATAACTGGGGATGAACTGAGCAACACGAACCTCACCTATAACTGGGCAAGACTGAGCAACACGAACCTCACCTATAACTGGGGGATGAACTGAGCAACACGAACCTCGCCTATAACTGGGGGATGAACTGAGCAACACGAACCTCACCTATAACTGGGAGGTGAACCTAGACTAAGTGGAAATTGAGGATAATATACAATATACTTAATACTTATTCATCAGTTTCTTCATATACACATAAAATCGATACATTTAAAAGGATTATAGAGTGTTGTTGAAGACAGTTTTGATGCATTATATTGTACTACTTAAGCATTGGTAACATCAGGAACAATAATGAATACATTTATATCTGAGTATCTGTAAAACAAAACTTCGCTTTCAACAGAAGAATGGTTTTGATTTCATTTTTCATTTCCTTTTTCACGCTTTTAAAATGCAAATAAATCGCCAAAATCTGTCTAAATGACAACTAACGAACGATAGATTGTTTGATTGATTGACGTCGAGAAAATCTAATTAACGATTCAAAAACTGTTTGAATCTAGTTAGCGATTGATGATAGTTATAGTCATCACTACGTTAGATTGAATTATTAGTCATACAGTTGTCTTATTTTTACTTATATAGGTTCACCAAAGAACACCCCAAAACCACCAACAACAACTACCACTACCACTACCACTACCACTACCACTACCACTACAACAATGAAACCATGGAAAACGTGGAAACCATGGAAACCAATGAAAGACCAAAACATGATGACTCCCAAACCACGGACACCAAAACCAACGACTGCAGACAGAATTACTACTAAAAGTCCAGTTGTGAAAATCCCACACATATGTAGACATGCTTATATAGACGCCATAACAAGACTGAAAAATGGTGAAACGTATATCTTCAAAGGTAATTTGAAAAAGGTTTATAAATTAAGAGTTATCAAAGGTTTTATTTAGATTTGTTAATATCTTAAACAATTCCAAAATTTCTGATTGAATTATATTATGATCAATTAAGCTTCATTTCAAAATTAGTTCTATGGTTTATGGTCTCCTTTTACTCTTTGTGTTCGGAACTTCCATAACATTAAAATGTGGTAATCTTTACCATGCTTTTCAGACAAACCTCTAATGATGAATATTGCTGTAGAAGTACATATTGACATTTTGTTTTGTAAATATCATCAGATAAAATTTACGATTATTATGCATAGAAATAAGATAATTTTTATTCAACATGATTTGTAATGTATTCCTGTTTATTATGATGTCATGTACTACAAATAAAGCTTTGGAGATGCATTGTATATTTAAATAATCTGTTACAGGAAAACATCATTTTCGTTTAACGCGATATGGTATCGACCGAGGTTTCCCAAGGAGGATATCATGGGACTTCAAAGGTGTAGAGGGACCAATAGATTCCGCTATCACTTGGGATAATGGATATACTTATATTTTTAAGGTAAGTATCTAACAACTATTAATTAGAAAATAAAGTTTGTGCCAATGATACAACTATCCTCTAGAGTCCATATGACAACTATAGGTCTCCGTGCAGCCTTCAACAATGAACAAAACCCATATCGTATAGTCAGTTATATAATGCTCTGACATGAAAAATGTGAAACAATTCAAACGAAATTGTCTTGTTTATTCAGTAATAAAAATAAACAATGTGATTATATTGGGTATAAGACAACTATACACCAAAGACCCAAGGACAGTGATATGACAAGGCCACAATAAGACCTTCAACAATGAGCAAAACCAATACCATGAAACACATAAGCTGTAAAGGTTCCGAGATGAAAAAATGTGAAACAATTCAAAATGAAAACCAACTGTCTGATTTGTTATGTTTTATCCTAACCATATTTATATAAAAAAAACATGTCAATATGAAGTGTACTTGTATGTAGTGATCTTTATTCTAAATAGTATCTCCTTTTTCGTTCATAGGACGATGTATATTGGAAGTTTGAGAACACTAAGAGAATATATGGTCCTAAAAAGATATCTGTTGGGTTCAGTGGAGTGCCTGCTGGTATCGATGCTGCTGTAGTCTGGAGCGGTAATGGTAAAACTTATTTCTTCAAAGGTGAGAACATAAACTAAATCTTCCAAGTTGACAACAACGAACTTGAACATACGTAGAGATAGATTCAACAGTGGAGCAAACATTGCTCACACATTCAGATATCCTGAATATGAAAATAAGAATATATGGTATCATTGTCAATGAAACAGATATCCACAAGAGACCACATCAAGTTGTCCCTTTGTAGTACAGGTTTATTTATAGAATGTAAATGGTAATCACGTAATAAGTATGGGAAATTTTAATTATAGAGACTTATGTCTGTGTGTAACATATATAAAAAAAAACATGGAAAGAAATCATTCTGTCATATTTTATTTAATTCTAAAAAAATATTTCTGTAAATGGGGATTTATCAAGACGATAAACATGTATAAAAAAGTAATCACATTTTTTTGGACATAACATGAATTATTATTTGGCTCCTTTTAATCTCTCACTCATACCGATTAAATTGAGTGTCTATTTGTCAACTGAGATATTCCGAAAATAAGACAGGATATAGCAATGTAGAGTGAGAATGATTCAATGACATCACGTTATATTTATTTATTTATTTCAGATGGTTATTACTGGAGATACTCTGGGAGAAAGGTTGAGTACGGTTATCCCCGACCAGTGTCTGTATGGAGAGGTTTACCTAAGAAGATAACTGCAGCTTTTAAGTGGGAGAATGGGAGGACCTACTTTTTCAGTGGCGAGAAATATTATAGATATAACGACCACCTTTTTACAGTAAGTTTTTTTTTATATCAGATATTATACTTCGAAATGTGTTTTACTCAAGAAGATGAGGGAATTTATAACTCTTCCTATGTCCAACACCACCAAGGTTTTTAGATAAAACATTGTTTGATTAAATTTGTCTCCTTAATCCAAAAGTGGAATGGTTTTCGTAATGCCTTTGTACAGATGATGGATTTCGTTTTAGTGGGCGATTTTCGTTGCCAAAATTGTTTTCTTTACTCTATTGCCCAAACAATGCAGAATCGTGAAGCTTATTATAGCCAGTAGTATGATGGATCACTTGGAAAATAACAAAACCTTCAACATGGATTTCGGGCATCAAGATTATGTGAAACTCTATTAGAAACATTGCAAAAAAACAACAACAATAACATTCAAGCTGATATAACTGTGATGAACTTTGCCAAAGCATTTGACAAAGTACCTCACAAAATATTTCTCTCCAAATTTAATTATCATGATATTAAATACAACCACTTAAAAAGATAGAAGCTTTCCTCACATCCGTACACAAACAGTCATTATTGATGATGTACAATTAAAACACAATGTGACATCTGGTATTCCCCAAAGAAACAGTTTTGTGACCTATCTTGTTCCTTATGTACATAAATGACTTTAGTGAATACATCAAACACCATCGACCTAAGATCATTTTCAGATGACAGCATAATATACTAAACACTATGAAACAGAGAAGACACACACACATTGCAAGAAGACCTTACATCATCAAAAAATGGAAGGAATGGATCATATTGTTTCACCCAGACAAGTGTTTAGTCCTTCAGATAACAACTAAGAAAAACCCAATAAAATTTGACTATACTCTTCACCAACATGTATTGTATAAAAGAAACATCAACAAAATATCTTGGCGTTACAATACAAACAGACTTAAAATGGAACAAACATGTCAATGATATATAGCAGCTTCAGCCACACAAAAGTTAAAGCTCATAAAGAGAAACCTAAAGTTCAATTCAAAAACAATTAGAGAAAAAGTTTATACATCACTCTTAAGACCAAAGCTAGAATACAACAACAGAATCTGGGACCCAAATATGCTCCAGCACAGGGCAGTTAGGAACACATTCAACAGATACCATAATACCAGCTCAGCTACTGGAATGTTACATACTCTCAACTGGACAACTCTAAAGAAAAGGCGAATAAGAGCACTCATCATCTTTTTCTACAAAATTATACACCATCTTGTAGCCATATATTCAACAGATTTGCTTACTCAATCTGACACGAGAACAGGACAACATTCACACAATCATTCTTGCAGACATATATATACCACTATAAAGATTCATATAAGTACTCATTTTACCCAATAACAATATTACAATGGAACCTTCTACCTTTAGCTGCAGTATAAATGTTATACACTTGACTGTTTCCGAGAACAGATCCCAATATTTGTTCTCAACAAACATCTCTACATCTAAATATAACAATGTACTAACCAAAATATATAGTACAAAAAAGAAAAAGAAAAAGGGAATAACTTTGAAAGTTCTATATATGACTGTAAATAGAAATTAGATCCCACGAACGCTCGGTATAGTAACATCAGAGTCCGGCAAGGTATCATCAGAATGTTTTTCCTTATTTGAGAGTTGGGTTTTGATAGTTATCTTTGATTGTTTCTTTGTAATTTATTTACGACTTTTACATAGTTGTGATGATTTAGAGCTTGACATATTCTAAGTGCATCTGTATTCACTTATGTTGCCTTCTAGATTTCTTTGGTTCTTTTTCTAATTTCATTGGCTTGAAGCTAACGTCTCTTTTTATTCCCACGTTTATATTTAGGATTGTAACCGTACCATATAATACAATGTATATATTTGGAGGTTTTTTTTCTACTTACCCAGGTGTAATCATAAATTGTAAACAATATTTTATTGTGCAAATAAGAACACAAACATTACAAATATGACAGTTGTACCTTGATCAAGTGTCACGATGTCCATTGAAATGTAAAAATTGCATTTAACTTTATGTATCATGATACAGCGTTTTGAACATGCAAAGTATACAAATTCCATGTAAATTGGAAAGTGAAATTGTATAAAATTGGTCACATTTTTGTTTTTTGGTGTTAAATGGAGATTTGTCTCATTGATAATCATAAAGTTTTTATAAAGTAAATTGGAAAGTGCCAAAGTATAAATCTCCTTATTTTCGTAATATAAATTTTAAGTGAAACCGTGATCAATCTATCTTTTTATGTTTATATGATTTTAAGAGACTACTTTATGTAAATGTGCAAAAGTTTGGGCTTGGTTCTCTGCATTCGTGATGAGATCTATTATGACATCACACGTCATCCGTCTATACACCACTAGGGCATTTGACACAAATCTGTTAAGTTTCAACTTTTTGTCAATTATTCCTGAATATTAATTATAAATATTGCTGCTGTTTCTTTAAATAAGTATAAGAGTATAACAGGCAAAATGATAATTTTTTGGGGCTTTCTCGGAAGAGAATTAATTTACCATTAGCTATAGTTTAGCTGCTATCTTTAACAGTTTTTGACAGTTTTACCCTTGAACAGATTTGGACAGATCTATAGTAGACCTAGCTTGGGACTCTTTTGGAGAGTTCAACCCAAGAACTTATTTAAACAGTTTTATCCTACAATTTGTTCTGACAGTTTTATCAAGGGTAGAACTGATCTTTGGAAGAACTATTGTTTAAAACAGTTCTGTGATTGTTATGACCTGTATAAAGATAGGTTAGAACTGATCCCGACTGTCAGTCAAATTTGCTGGTGAACGATTGAGTGGATTATTCGGGTTATTGAATCCATCATCATCAGGCGAAACGTTTTTTGGATTTGACTGAACATAAGAGAGACATTTCTTGTAACATGTAGGTGGATAGTTGTCTCATTGTCAATAAAATACCACATCTCCTTATTTTTATAATGGCTGCCGGTTTAAGGACGTTGAAGTTTTGACTATCGACATGATTGATATAAGACGTTTACGATTCAGATCTTGTATTATTAATTTATTACCGTGAGGAGAAGTGTGGTTAACGTTAATGTAAACAACCCACACATTCACCTGGAGTTATGATTAAGCTATATTATTCACACTTAGATTAAATTATTTAAATTTTGTCTACTTATCTTTTTCAATAAATTTCAAATGAAACTGCATTTTTGTACTGACGATTGTTAAATATGTATATCCTTATAATTTCTTACTTAAACATCCACTGAAAGATCATAAAATTACGTACCTATTGACCTATTACATACAAATTTAAAATGAAAATATTCATGTATACCTATATGTTATGTGTATTGCATGATCCGTATTTCATTACTATTCGTGGGATACCAATGTCTGTAGGTTTAAAGTGTAGGAGGGGCCCGTAAATTAAAATACACGACGAAATGTGATTTTTACGTAACTTTGTGAAGAGCAAATGATGAAAACACGAAATTACGTACACTCGAAGTAGCATGTTTTTTTTTCAAAACACGAAAAGTGATACCGTTGAAAGAAAACATTTCAAGTAGAAACAACAAACAATAGTCTATATTATACTTTTTCCATTGTAGGTTGACGCCACATATCCAAGATCAGTTGCTACATGGTGGCTAGGGTGTCCAAATCAAGGTGAAATGACAGACATAAGAGACCCTTACACACAAAATAAAAAAGGACAATCAGAGAAAAATAATAAAGATGAACAATGGTTAATTGTGGAAGATGATGGAACAACTTACATGGACGGACAAAATCAGAACAATTCGGCTGTCAAATATAGTACTTCTTTAACTTTAATTATTAGCTTTTTGATAGTTCTCTGCAATATTTATTTGTGATCATGAAATGAAAATTTATAAAAAATTATAAACGGGTACACATTACATTCCATGTCGAACGAACCCAGTCTAAGGGAGATAAATCCAGCATTAATTTATAGCTACAGGTCTGCTGTGAAATATTCCAAAGTTCCTCATATTAATCATTAGAATGTTTGCTTTAGTTTTTGATATTTCTATGTAGAGTGAGCGTGTGAACAAGCTAAATGACATTTGCATGTGTATTTAAGGCTTCAGGGTATATGTAAAGAACATGTATGACAAATTATCGTCGAGTCGGTGTTAAAAATATTTAAATTTAACGTAATAATTTGTCTTGTTCTCCAATATTTGGGTTCCTTATGTTATTTCTATATTTCGTTTCGATGATAAAAATATCATACAGGGAATTTCCATTTTAAAAGGCTTATAAAATGAACCTGGTTTACGTATTTCATTTAAAGTCTTTTGTTTTCCGGTGTAATCTCTCTGTCTCTTATTATGGTTTGGTTACTTTTTGAATGGTCCATTTACCGTGTTTATAGGAGCCTTGGATCCTAGTCCAATCTATGCTATGTCAGGTCTGAAGTTAATGCTATCCTGGTGCAGTGAGCAAGGATCCCAGACTATAGTGGACTATGTTGTTCATATGTATTTTATTTCTTTGTATTAAAGACATCAGCCGGTTGTAGCATTTTACTTATCAGTAGTTGTTGGTTTTGACTTTGTTTGTATATATATTGATGAAATGGACTTAATTATATTGTAGATAATGCTTGTTATTTATTTTGAGACATTTATACAAAATGTAGGGATTATTTAAAATCCCCTTATTTATCAAAATTAACCACCAACTCAGAAAATAGGATAATACCTGTTAGGAGAAAACTGTATTGTGAATGGTGTATGAAAGTTAATCTGACCACACCAACTATAATTAATAGAGAAACCTTTCTTATGGATGGTTATCTAAAGTGTATGGAAGTTAATCTGCCAAGTGCCTGACCAATCTGACTATAATCCTTAAATCTTTTTTTATTCATGAATTGAAATTTATAGTGAAATATTTCTTTATTGTTATACCTTACACATGTATTTCCTTCAAAATGATATATTCAGAATCCATGGAAAAAGATACATTTTAGGAATATTAGACATGTTTGTATGTTGTTAGCAAGGATTCCATCGTTATTACATTTATATGTTATGATAACATTTATGATTTGTTTGTATTTATGATTACATGTGGGATTTTTATAACATTTATATACTGAGATTACATATGTGACTTATTCATATGTAATGATTACATGTGTGCTTTGTTAATGTTTTGATTACATATGTGGTTTGGTTGTATGTTATGATATATGTAATTTGTTTGTATGTTATGATAAGATATATGATTTGTGTGTATGTAATGATTATACATGTGAATTGTTTGTATGTTATGATTACATGTGTGCTTTGTTGTATGTGATTACATATGTGATATGTTTGTATGTTATCATTACATGTATGAAATGTTTGTATGCTGTGATTACATATGTGATATGTTTGTATGTTACCATTACATGTATGAAATGTTTGTATGCTGTGATTACATATGTGATATGTTTGTATGTTATCATTACATGTATGAAATGTTTGTATGCTGTGATTACATATGTGATATGTTTGTATGTTATCATTACATGTATGAAATGTTTGTATGCTGTGATAACATATGTGATATGTTTGTATGTTATGATTACATATGTGATATGTTTGTATGTTATCATTTCATAAGTGATTAGTTTGTATGTTATCATTAGATATGTGATTTGTTTGTATATATTGATTACATGTGAGATTTGTTTGTATGTTGTAATTACATGTGTGATTTGTTTGAATGTTCTAAATACATGTGTGATTTGAATTGTATTTAGACATTGTCATTGCACGTGGCTATTTGTTTTTGATATATATGATTTATTGATATTTTGAATTTTATTTTCTTAAATTTGATATAACTGTTTTATACATCCTTTTTTTTATATGTATGTAGTCAGATAGAAAATATTATGTTTAATAAGTGCTAGGTAAGTTTGATTAATGTAAGTGATTAATGTAAGTGAATCAAAAGATGAATGTACATCAGTACAACATGAAACAATCAGTGTTTTTAGAAATCATTAATTTTCCAAAATTTATAATTATGTGCCATGAAATTTGTAAATAAAATGTGTGAATCAATAGTACAACTGTACGGATACTCCTCATCTATATCATACTATTAAATTTTCTACCTACACATGGCTTGTTTTCTCTTTAATTAGGAAATATCATGGAAATTCTTGTGAATAAAATTACTAAATTTTCTAGATTCAGTATGTTATTATAGTCTCACCATATACAAACATCCAATAAGATTTATAAAATACCATATAAAACAATGAAAACATTTACCATATATGCACTTATGTTAAAAATATTTATGAGAGGCACTTAAGACATGATTTATATATATATTTTTACACATTTACATATAAAATTTACACATTTACATAAAAAATTTACAATGTAAATGAACAATGTGTAAAACAATTTGTTTCTTTAAAAACTAATGAAATAAAATATTGTACTGGCTACTGTTTGGGAACTAACAGTCCACCAGCAGATGTATGGACCCAGTGGTAGATAAAACATTAACACTGGGACTATTATACTAATATATTATGTCCCAGATTAACGGTACAAGTTTTATTAAACCAGATGCGCATTTTGGCAATAAATGTCTCGTCAGTGATGATCGAGGTCAAATTAGTTGAAACTTCATAGTCTAATACAAACGTTAAAGAGCTGATAAAACAAAAAGGACCTAAAGTATAGCCTAATCCGGACAAGGAATCAGAGCTTTGCATGAGTGATACGGTGCTTTTTGTCCGCAATTTGCTTTTTGTCCGCTTTTGCTTTTTGTCCGATAATTTTGCTTTTTGTCCGACACTTTTGCTTTTTGTCCGTTGCTTTTTGTCCGTTTTGCTTTTTGTCCGAAAATTTTGCTTTTTATCCGACACTTTTGCTTTTTGTCCGTTGCTTTTGGTCCGTTTTGCTTTTTGTCCGCTGATTTTGCTTTATGTCCGCTATAAAAATGTGTATATTTTTTGCAGGTTTCATTTTGAACTTCGAAACACCATGCCCTTTTTTGGAGTTAAATACAGACCATACTCACTTTAAAAATGGAGGGGAGGGGGCCTCGGAGAATTTGAAAATGAATGATATAATACCTGGTAATAACTTGAAAAGGAAAATTTGCTAAAAAAAAACAATGAATATTCCATCCGAAAATAAATTCGCATGGCCCATACACCCACCTACCACGACCCGAAAATGAAATGATCGATCACCATATATATAACGTTGCAATTATCCCAATGAAACTACCAGCCCAATATCATATTAAATTTGGCCACATTATCCTTTAATAATGAGAATCTGGAAGCAAGAAGAATTCCGATGAACTCACCGGTCGACAAATATGACTGCAATGATTAACATAGAATACAAAGTCGTAAAATACAATTTAAACTTATTTGTATATTAAAACCCTTAAAATTAGAAACTTTGATTAAGAATATCTGACAGAGATTAAGTGTTAAGAATGTGAAGAACGTCTTACTTAAACTATCGGACGACTCCTTTAATATTAGAGCTATTGCCCATAACTGAAACTATTTTGATTTGTGTTTGGTTTTTTTTGTTTGTTTTTTTGTTTGTTGTTGCTAATCTCGAAAACATAAATGGTCTGAGAGAAACTTCGAAAATGTTTCAAAAAGCGTACTATAAAGACGATAACAAAAAACTTGATGGAAATAGCAAGGACAGTACTGGAATGGAAATTTTGTTTGATTGAAATTTGCATTTAAAAAGATTACATTAATTAATTTCCACCTTGGTCGGTTTAGCTCAATTTGACGTCCTTTATGGATCAGCTATTCAACATTTTTATCAGATTTTCTTTTGTCTCCAACATCACTGAGGAGATATTAATTGCTAAAATGGCTGGTGCAATAAAATTGGTACCGTTAATGTTATTTGAGACGACCTCAGGATTATCGAGAAGGGGTGTGGTTGTTTGGATAATTTTCATCCTATTTCATAAATAAATCATGAATTGTCCTGTAGTTTGAAGGACAAACTAGTTATCTTAATGTTGACATGAAGATGGGCTCAGTTATTTATGTTCAATTACTGATATACAAATCTATCCATTTTTAAAATTCTCTTCTCCAAAAATGTAAAAAAAGAAAACAGTTGTCATTCCCTTACTGACTCTTAGATATTATTCATGTAGGCATTCTGGTGAAGATGAAATTCATTTTGTTTCATTCAACGCCCAAGCTGCTTCACTGCACGTGAACATTACTGTGCTGACGAAAAAGATATTGTTTTCTGTTAAGTAATGACGATATAATATATGACATACAATATGTTAAAGCAACTGCCAAAAGAAATAAATCAATAACTGACGAATGACAAGAGCTGTCTCTCTCTATCATATATATTTTTTATGTTCCAAATAAAATCCATACTGCATATTTTTTTTTATTCAGCAGTATATTATATGAAGTTCTTAAAAACTTAAAACTCTGTGTTAGTACAACATGTATATGCGTGCAGAATTAAGACTGGTACTTTATGTCTTCTTTGGTTTTTTTTGTGCTATTTACTGTCGAGGCAAACCCCTGTTACACTGATTTTTAAAGTTCGTTCAGTGGTTGTTCTGTTGTAATACTGTCCCGGTTTTCGGGGCAAATTGGACTGATTGAAATGAAAGGTTGTGATATGCTGCAGATATCGGTGATGAATTTCACTATACATGTATCTTATATCATGTAGTGCTCTCACACAAGAGTGGAAAAAGCTGTTATAATAATAATAATAATAATAATAATAATAATAATAATAATCTTTATTTCAAGAGGGTATGCTCAATTAGTACAAACACTATTCTCCCTTGAGGCCCTCACACTCCACTCACAATGCATCACACAATTTCATCATAACAAAGATAAACATAAGAAACATAAGAAAACATAATCAAAATTGATTGAAACTGTTGCTACATCAATGCATGAGTCCTAAATTTAACAAATTCAAGCAATAAATGAGCTGAAATAACCATATCACTCTTGAAAAAACTTATTAGATTATAGGAATTATAACAGTGGGAGTCAGTCCTCCTTCTTAGTCTACACAGTTATGTTTGCATTTGTACTTTTGTAGTACTACTCATTTGAAATACTGAAATCGACCCATAATAATGAAGTAATTTTCACTAATCAAGTACTATAAAATAATGGTACAATGTTATGCATTACCGTTCTTCAATTTTTTTATCATTACAAAAGTAAACATACAGAAGTGATTGTGCATATTATCAACATAGGCAGAAATGTTTAGTGTTATCGTGCATATTTATAATAAATTTTGCGTTTCTATATTTAATAGTTGAAGTTTGTAAGAAATAGTTCAAAGCTGAAATTTCAAATTATGCATATATAACATAATCTATAACATATATTGAATGCCATAGAAAATGCAGTGCTATTATAATTTTTTTCTCCAAAAAACATACTGATATATTTTCAGCTCACCTAGCTTTATTGACCAAATGGGTTAATCTCATCACTTGGCGTCCGTCGTCCGTCGTCGTCGTCGTCGTCCGTTAACTTTTACAAAAAGAATTCCTCTAAAACTGCTGGGACAAATTTAAACAAACTTGGCAACAATTATCATTAGGGTATATAATTTTTAAAAAATATGTCTGATTAACTCGCCTACCAACCAAGATGGCTAACATGGCTGAAATAGAACATACGGGATAAAATTAAAGTTTTGTCTTTTATTTGGAAAACCATTAAAAAGAGAGAAAATCTGACAACAGCAGGATGTTGAGCTCTACCAATTGTCTTACATGTCAAAACTATCAGATGACGTCCCAAAATTGGTTTCCATTCTCTAACTATAGTTTTCCTCAACCCAATGTTATAAACTTAAACACAATGCTTATTACCACATAACCTAGATCAAGTTTGAATTTTGGTGGCGTCACTTTTACTGTTCTAGAGTTATGCCCCTTTGAAAATGGAAAAAACTGCTGAATTTTTTATTCCCGTTCTTTCACTTTAGTTTGTTTAAAAAAATGGTATGAAACTTATGTGCAATGTGTATTACCACAAAACACAAGTCACGTGTGAATTTTTGTGGTCTCACTTTTCCTGTTATGACCCTGTATAAATGGGGAAATGCTGACTTTATCGTTTTTGTTTTCTAACTTAAGTTTGCCTTAAGCAAATGTTATGAAACTTATACACAATGCTTATTACAACAGAAGTTAGATCAAGTACAAATTTGGGTAGTGTCACTTTTGCCGTTCTTAAGTTATGTCCCTGTGTAAAGTTTTATGCAAGCGGGGGCATTATCTGTGTCCCATGGACTCATTTCCCATTTATTATAGGATTTATTGCCCTTAAATGAAAAATTTTACCATTTGTATTCTTTTTTTGCCTTCTATCTTGAAAATTATAATAAATACAGAAAAAACTTTATGATGATCAGCAAGATCAGTTCTACAAATGAGACAACATGGTCGAAATCGCTAATCGACTCCTTATTACAGTTAATGTCCTTTGATGATGATTTTGACCATTTTGTTTGGCATTTTTTTGCCTTATATCTTAAATCTACAATAAAGACAATACGAAGGCGACTTCTTATTGGAGTTATTGCCCTTTAATGTAGTGTCTTTCGCATTCTTGGATTGTAAATAACAGAGAACCAATTTTTAATCAGTGTAGCAAAATTTGATGCAGAAATGAAGATAACTAATGTGAATTTCATTTAAAAGAACATATTTATGAGATTTTAACATATAAATATTAATAATTGTACAAGCGTAGATTTTATTTTAAATGCTTTTAAATTTGCATTTTTAGGAGAGATAACTCTGAAATAGTGTATTTTCTGAAAGGGTCTGCATAAACTTTTGCTAATTTAAATTTTAGCAGGAAAAAACGCACGGTGACCCTATCTTATCTATTGAAATTCTCAAAGCATTTTCTAAAAGCTATCTTCTCGCATATTGTTTTCAATTCTATCATTTAGTTTAGCTTCTGATCACATAATGCTGTTTTTTTTCCGTATAATTCATACAAAATGTGTCATTTTGTCACAACCTGTAGCTTGAGAAAATGCTCGGTGACCTATCATATTTATTATATTTTTGAACATTTCACAATATATACTACGT